TTTAGGATTTGGCCCTAGAAAAGTCTCCCACCTCCATGTCTACCACCTCCTCCTTCGATCATTCCACTGCAGCCATACTGTTGTTCTTGCTGTTCCCCAAACAAACCAAGCTGACTCCTGCCCCCAGGGCCTTTGCACACGTTTGCCCCTTTTCAAGGAATGCTCTTCCCCCAGAAACCACATGGTCGCATTTACTTCTTTTGGGTCTCTCAAAAGTCATCTCCTTAGAGAGGCCTTCATTAACTACCCCATCTAAAATACCTTTCTCCTCCATGCTACTTCTCATTAGCTGTCATTATATATTTGGTCTTTTTCTTGGTTATTGTCTGTCTCCTTTACTAGCATGTAAAAGCCACAAGAGCACAGACTTGGTCTATTTTGTCTGTCTTGCTCAATGCCTAGAATAGTACCTGGCACAAAGTAGGTGTTTAATCAATGCATGTGGAATGACCCCACAAAGACACTGGTAGGATTATATTCAACATGACTCTCATCCCAGTTTTTATCAGCCGACGCCAGCATTTGACTTCCTCGAATGCTGAATGACTTCCAAATATCTATCTTTGGGTTGGACCTCTTATCTACATTCCAGGCTCAAATGTCTAATTGCTTACTATATCTCTTCACTTAGATTCCTCAAAGACTCTTTAAGAGGCTCTCCACACAGCCCTGTTCTTGTCTCTGCATTCTGTTTCCACACACGGAGTCCTCTCCCAGCGTCTCTTGTCTCAATGAATGGTGTCTCCACCCCCTGCATAAGGCAGACATCTGAGGGTCATTCTTACAGTCTTCTTTCCTGCCCTCCCCCATCCTATTCATCACAGAGGCGTGTTCATTTTGTTCCATCTCCACACCCACGACCATTACCCAAGCCACCGATATTTCTCTCCCAGACTAGTGCAGTAGTCTCCTAACTGACTTCCTCATATCCACCTCTGGGCCCTTCCATCTCTCTTCTACACAGTAGGCAGTGTGATCCTTTAAAGCACACCCCTGACCATGTCACTCCTGTGTTTGAACCTGTGGTTCCCTTTCCTCTACTCTTAGGCTAAAGATCAGAATCCTTAACACTACTTCTATTAGTAGAGTAGACAGATATTCTACCAGGGCACGCTGATACAGCTACACAGGTTGTTAAAAGCTGAAATATCTCCACTCCCTTTGGTCAACAGGCATTGTCGCAAGCGCTTAAATACCTCCCACTGTCCACTCTATCCCCTCTCCCAGATCCTGCTCCTTAATCAGCAACAACAGGATTAATGTGTGGGGCAACAGGCAAACACACTCTCATGCACACAGTGGGCACAAATGTGCATACACACACGCACTGCTCTCGGGGTCCTGGGACACACCATCCCTGTTGTAGACTGTTGTGACTATCTCTCCAGCCTCACGTGGTCCCTCTTGCTTTCTGCATTGCAGCCACTCTAACCTTCCTTAAACTCTCCATGCCTTTCCCTGTCTCAGGGACTTTGCACAGGCTGTTCTCTATGACGAGAAAGTTCTTCCCTTCCTTCAACTCATTCACCCCTAGTCATCCCTTAGCACAACTATCTCTTCCTCACAGTAGCCTTTTCTGCCTCCAACTCTAGGTCAAGTCTTTCTTATACATATTCTCATAGAATCCCATGCCTTTCCTTCAAAATGTCTAACATAGTTTGGTTTGCCTATCTATTTGTGTGATTTGATTAATAGCTCTCATTACCAGTGGACTATAATTCAGAGATAATGAGGATTAAAACTTTTTTATTTTTTTTACTATTAAATCCCTAAAGCCTAGCACTCCATATACATGTAGAGATGTACAGGAAGACATTGGCTAAAGACAATGAGTATAAAGTATGATCAATGCTTGAATAAATGAAAGAATCATGCATTCATATAAAGATATTGGTGCATGCATGTGTATAGGTATGTCCTTATAGGTGAATTTGTTATTTTCTATAAATATAATGATGATGATGATGATAAAAATGAGTAGACGTAATCTATGCAATAAGGAAACGTCCCTGAATATTCAGCTGTCTCTTATATAAGCCAAGAAGAGTTCCTCTTTTCACACTACTTACAGTAATTACTTCCTATTATGGCAAGCAGCACATATTCCTTCCACACAACATACTATTTGAAAGTGTGTTACTTATATAAGGATCAGCATTTACTGTATTACTGCTGTCACTGTCCACCAGCTCAAAAGATTCAAGCCAAAGCACATTCTCAAGCCATGACCCCAGGACAAGAGCCTGTTTTTATCTTCTCAAAACAAGAAATGCATGTTTTAAAGAGAAGAATCCTCTAGCACTATTACGAGGCTGGCTCTGTGAACGGTATCAAGCAGCAGCACTGTCCCGATGGAGGCAATAATGTGTTTAATGAGGGCATAAGTTCAGCTACTGTAGTCCTTCGCCATTAACCATACTCTGTACTCAAGAGCAAAAGCCATAAAGCCCTATAAAACCAGAATGAAGCTCGGGCAACGCTGGCACCCGAGGGGCAGCCCATCTGCAGCCCCTGCCCTGAGGCCGTCATAGAACCCAGGACAAAGACCAACAGGGCCCCAGAGCTGAGGAGCCAGGACTAAACCTGAAGGGAGGGGCTTTGCACTATGTGGAATCCTTCCTTTACCTCCCCTGACTTTCATTTCTTTGCCAGCAGAACTTTGCTCTTTGAAAATCAGAGGCTGGTCTTAGCCAGGACCACAGTCTCCACGTTGAGGTCAAAGCCTCCCCTTAGTCTCTAGCAGGGTTAAATGTGACTTGTCACTGGCGCTGAGCTGATCCATGGATCGGAAATGGTGTCAATGAAGTACAAAGAATACCTGGGTGCCTGCTGCTCTCTGAACCTCAGATGAACCCAGGAGGTGCTCTGAGGAGAGGCGGAAGCGGTACAAGCCAGTTACACCCGGGGCCTCACCAACAGGAGACCAATCAGAACAGAGCCATTTCCCGGGTGTCGTCAAAATCTTCCAATTTCACACCGAAAATGAGCCTTGGCTCAAGGCTTATGAATGCTCTGTTGTCCCCATTTCTGCTAAATGGATTCCTTTGAGAGCTGGCATCTTAACCCTTGGAAGGCCTCTGGAGGTTTGGTGCTCCCCAACGGGGAACTGCACTGCAGAGAAACGTGCATATGGATTCCTGCAGCCCCAGCCCGGCGGGAACAAAGGAAACCTCAGAACTGAGCTCTCTCTGCCAGGAATGCATCCCAGTGGGGAGAGAGAACAATCCCCTCACCCGGGGGCCTGGGAGCAACACAGCTGTAGTTCCTGCCGCTGTTTCCAGGGTGCGGTGTTCAACCGGTCCCTGGGACCCCTCTCCTGAGCCACTCCCATTCTAGGACTGTCCTTCTTTGCCCATACTTTGTTCCTACTGCCTCTTCCCATGAAAGAAATGGGTTCAGAGTTTTAATCTGTGATCCAAAGGCCTACCTTTAGCTCTGCATGCTTGGTGAGAATGACCACAAATGTCCTTAGGCCCATGTTGGCATATTTGGATGGAGGGATGGAGCGAGCCCTCCTCCTCATCTAGTTTGAGACCTCAAGTCCAGTCCACACGCTTCATTGCCCCTCTGAAGTTGACTGTCACGGGCATCTGCTTCATATCATACACCTACTTCTATTTCCTATCATTCACCACCCACCCTGTCCTTCTCATCTTTTAGCTGTGAATTTACACCACAGAAGACCAACTGAATCCAAGTGGGGTCCTGGCCCTGGGAGACAGAGAAAGCGGCATTTTACATTTTAAGCAGGGTGGAGGGGGCTGACGGACAGAAGAGCACAGCCAGTAGAAAGGTGAACCTTCCTTCATTCTGGGAATTTGCCCCGCTGGCTTGCAAAAGCCATCCAGCCCATCGCAACATGGGTGAACTTGGAGGACATTATGCTACGTGAAATAAGCCAGTCACAAAAGGACACACACCGTATGCTTCCACTTATATAAGGCACCTAGAGTAGTCAGAGTCATAGAGATAGAAAGTAGAATGGTTGCCAGAGGCTGGGGAGATGCAGGAATGGGGAGTCATTGCATAATAGGTACAGAGTTCCAGTTTTGCAAGATGAAAAATGTCCTGTGGATGGATAATGCGGATGGCTGTTACCATGATATGAATGTACTTAATGCCACTGGACTGTACACTTAAAAATGGTTAAGATGGTAAATTCTACATTATGTGTATTTCACCACAATTTAAAATAATTTTTGAATGATTAAAACGGTAAAAGCAAAAAAGTCAAAATTGGTAAATTTGTTCTAAATTAAAAACTGAATTTGCATGTTCACATGAACAACTTAATTGACTGGCAAGAACTAACAAACAAACAAAAGCCATCCAAGCCCCAAGCGCAAGCCACACCCCTGTTCTCTTTCTAGGGGAGTGATTTCCTCTTCAGTCAGTTCCTAGAGTTTTGGTCTGACTGCCCTCCCATCAGTCCTACATACATTCAGTTTCTTTACCATCCTCTCCGGAAACCAAGCCCCCAACCAAGCCCCCGTCACATAGCACTAGAAACCTCCAGGGAGGCCTTTTAAGCCACACTGTTGCTCAACCTGAGCCAGACTTGCCTTTGTCAATACTCTGTGAGCCAGTTCTCACCACTATTTCCTTCTCAGCCTGCAGAGAAGCCTCAAAGGCTGCTGACAGACAAAGATTTAATGTCACTACAGACACAACATCCTTCAAAGGCCCTTCCTTGTGCCCACTTTCAAAGGCCACATATTCTAAGACCACAGCAGGGACCAATAGCGACTTCTAAGGGAAGAGGCCCCAGGGGATGGAGCCCAGCCTGGCCCACACTGCTCAAGCATCAGCCCTTCTCTGTGGGGGCCTGGACTGGGGCAGGGATATGGGCAACAAGGTTAGGGCCTTCAGCAGGCGGGAGCCCTGGGGGATTTTTGAGGCCACTGGGAAAAGGTTAACAGAAGCAGATTAAAACTCTCAGGGAATGGCACCAGGCAAGAGCCACTCTTCAAAGACCACATGCCTGTCCCCATCCCACTTACCTGGTTACAGGTATTAATGTCTACCCCATTCCTCAGGTGATCCAAAGCTTTGTCCAAGTTACCTGATCTTGCTGCCCTGAGAAAGCTGGTAGCAGCATCGGCCTGTGAGGAGAAATAGCAGGCTGTCAGTGTGCTCTGTGTAGTAACAACTTCACGATCCCATTCAAGCCCAGAGCTGCAAAAAATGGACAAGGTCATGGCAGCAGCCTTGCACCCTCCCATTGTGGCGCCCTGGTGCCCACCATGGTATCCAGATGTGGTACAGGCCCTAGAACCCCTGGCAGGACCCCTTTGGGGTCTGTAATGTGAAGCTGCCTTCAAGCCCAGTCTCCCTTCCTTTTGGTATTTTTATGAGCAAGCATTTTTGGCTAGGACCCAGAAGGGATCAACCAGCTTTTGAGAGGGACCCCATTCCAAAGCCTGGTGTCTTACTGCTTTGATGTTTCCAAGGGCTCTGCGTCTTTACTAAGGAGCCTTATATATCAATCACATAGCCCCTGCCCCCCGTGAGTCATAAAAGCAGGCACAACAGAACCAAACACGTGCTCTCTGGTGCTATTTTGTGGTTTTGTTTTTTAAGTAAACAGCACATAGCACTAACTGTGCGCTAAAAACCATTAACAGCACTTTACATATAAAATAAAGATTTATACACATGCAGATATGCATCTAGTTCTCATTAAAAAAAAACCCACGGTAAGTGCTATTGTGGTCTCCATTTTACAGATGAGGAAACTGAGGCACAGAGAGCTAAAATGACTTGTACAGAGTCACACAGCAGGTAAGAGGCACAGCCAGGACTCCAATGCAGGCAGTTTGGCTCTGAAATCAGTTAACTTAACCACCCTTCTCTGTTGCCAGCTTAACGTGAGCTTTACCTGACAGGTGCCCCACGTCTTGAATGAGAGTAAAGCACTTCATTTCCCTAGTTGTTGCTCAGCCACCTACACCAACATATCAAGACACTGCTGCCAGGAACATTTGTTTGTATTAAGGATAAATGACAGCCAGAAAGAGTGAGAGCTAAGGACAATAAAATAAAGTCGGTGAACGCAGAGAAGTATAGTGAGAGAGCATATCATTACAGGGGGTTGAGCTGACTCAGAGCAGCTCCGCTGCATGTAGCTGATAGCCCTACGCTCTTAGGCACCACTGCACCTGTTTCCTTATCTGTAAGCCGGGCAGGGTAAGGCCTTTCTCATACCCTTGCTGTGAAGCTGAGAGGAAATAATATACATTATTATAATTATTATATCAGCACAAGTGCTGAGTACAGTACATGGCACATGGTGCCTACTCAGGTGGAGTCTGACAGGTAAGAGTCACATGACAGGCCATAGGTGAAGCGTGGGATGCCATTCCTCCAGAAGACCCATCCACATATCATGTTTTTTTCTCCTGTCTCCTTCCTTCATGCTCCCTCCTTAGAGAACATATTATAGGGGTTGAATGGTGGTCCCCAAAAGATATATATGTATGAGCCTTAATCTCTGGCGGAGTAGATAAATGCTGTGCTCACCTCCTCCCAGGACCACATCAATTACAGCTAGACCACAGAACAACCATTATTGAGAATCACCTGAAGCCTAGCTGAACCAAAGCCCTACAACTACAGACATACAAAAGAAGCCACCTCCAGATTGGTAGGAGGGGCAGAGACCTGGAACAGGCTGGTCCCACACCTGCGTGTGACCATTAAAAATCGGAAGAGATATCTCTGCTACGGAGGTTCCCCCCCGAGGAGCTAGGGGTCCCAGCCCCTCCCCAGTCCAGCGTTTCAGTGACAGGAAGAAAAGTCCCCATAACTTCTGGCTGTGAAAACCAGCAGGGATTGTCGCTTAGTGAGATGGCAGGCAGCTGCATTCCCAGGCATTCTCTTTAAATGTGTGCGGACTTACTCACTGATGGACTCACTCGCTCTCAGCTCCAGCCCTGGGGCCACAGCTCGAAAGGCGCCAGGGATACACGGAGAGGAACTGAGTCGTTTAACTTCAGTGTGAAAGCTGGAGGGGCAGCTTTCTCCCTGATGGAGGCACTGGCGGAAGCCATTGTTTTTTTTGTTTAGCCCTCCATCTCACTGCGTGCAGATGCAGGCAGACTCCCTCTCTTAGTCTCCATCAAACTGGCCCCATCCTATTGATTCCCTGAGACCATGCCCCACCCAAGTTTCAGGCACACCAAAGCCATTTCCAGTGGCTTTTCTGTGTAAACGACCTGCCTTAGTTCATGCTGCAGAGTTTTCTAAAACCTCTCAAAGGTTCACAAAACCCAAACAAGCAGCATCTAGCTTCAGCATGTCTCATACCTCTAGCTGAGCAGCCCTAAGCCCAGCACTAGCGACAGTTGGCCTTGGTTTGTGGCTTGGCCTCTCAAGGCACCTCTAAGCACAGTGTGGGCAGCGGCCATCTCTGGATTGCTTTGTGGCTCATGTCAGGTGGCCCCAGGCAGGGCATAGACAACAACAGCTTAAGTTGGCCTGTAGCAGGTCCCCTCCCAGTGGCTAGCAGGCCCAGTGGCCAGCTATAGACTGGGCCAGAACATCACCCAGCCACCTCCAAGGATGACACACCCAAAGGGCAGACTAGGCAGGCACCAGAGGCCTGATAGTGCAAACACTGCTCTGCAGGGACAGCCCCTGCACAGCAGTTCCTCTGCTGTAGTCACAGCCAGTCCTCTTGAGGGTCCACCCCTCCAACTGATGTGCAAACAGCAATCAAGTCTCAACTACAACAGGAGGGCACACACAATCCACACAAGAGACACACCTGGAGCACCTGGCTCTGGTGACTAGGGAGACTGCACCATTGGGTCCCACAGGACACCTACTACATAAGGCCACTTTATTAAGACCAGGAGGCATAGCAGCCCTACAAACAAACAAACACAGGGAGGTAGCCAAAATGGGGAGACAAGGAAACATGCCCCAACTAAAAGAACAGAACAAAGCTCCAGAAAAAGAACAAATAAAATAGAGACAAGCAATCTACCAGATGCAGAGCTCCAAACACTGGTTATAAGGCTGCTCAATGATCTCAGGGAGAACTTCAATAAAGAAATAGGAAACATTAAAATGGAGATAGAAAACATAAAAAAGAACCAGTCAGAAATAAAGACTACAATAACTGAAATGAAGAATGCATTAGAGGGAATCAACAGTAGATTAGATGAAGCAGAGGATCAAATCAGCAATTTGGAAGATAAGGTAGCAGAAAACACCCAATCAGAACAGCAAAAAGAAAAAAGAATCCAAAAAAATGAGGAGAGTTTAAGGGGCCTCTGGGACAACATGAAGTGTACCAACATCACAGAGGTACTGGAAGGAGAAGAGACAGCAAGCAATTGAAAACCTATTTGAAGAAATAATGACTGAAAACTTCCCTAACTTGGCAAAGGAAATAGATATACAAGCCTAGGAAGTGCAGAGAGTCCCAAACAAGACTAACCCAAAGAGGTCCACACCAAGACACATCATAACTAAAATGCCAAAGGTTAAAGACAAAGAGGATGTTAAAAGCAACAAGAGAAGAGCAGTTAGTTACCTACAAGGGAGCTGCCATAAGACTGTCAGCTTATTTCTCAACAGAAACTTTGCAGGCCAAAAGGGATTTGCATGAAATATTCAAAGTGATGAAAGTAATGACCTACAACCAAGATTACTCTACCCAGCAAAGCTATTATTTAAAATTGAAAGACAAATAAAGAGCTTCCCAGACAATTAAAAGCTAAAGGAGTTCATTACTACCAAACCAGTATTACAAGGAATATTAGAGGGACTTCTTTCAGACAAAAAGAAAAAAAATTAAAAATATAAATAATAAAATGGCAATAACTACATACCTATCAACAATTACTTTAAATGTAAATGGATTAAATGTTTTAATAAAAAGATAGGGTGCCTGAATGGATAAGAAAACCAGATCTTTATATATGCTGCCTACAAGAGGCTCACTTGAGATCAAAAAACACACGAAGGCTGAAAGTAAAGAAATGGGAAAAAGATATTTCATAAAAATGGAAATGAAAAAAAAAGCTGTGGTAGCAATACTTAGGCCAGACAAAATAGACTTTAAAACAAAAGACAAAGAAGGACCCAGTAATCCCCTCCTCAAAACGCTACTTTGAGAGGACATGTGCATCCACATGTTCACTACAGCATTGTTTAGTGACCAAGATGTGGAGGCAGCCTGGGTGTCCATCGATGGAAGAATGGATAAAGAGGAGGTAGTATATATTTACAATGAAATATTGCTCAGCCATGGAAGGGAATAGGTTATTGCCATCTGCAGTGGCATGAATGGGCCTGAAGGGTATTGTGCTGAGTGAAGTATTACGTCAGACAGTGAAAGACAGATGCAATGTGATTTCACTTATATGAGGAATCTAAAGAGCAAAATATAAACAAACAAACAAAACAGAACAAACTCATAGATCAGAGAACATGTTGATGGTTGCCAAAGAACATTTGATGAGAGGGGGATTGAGAATGGGTTATAAAGGGAAAGGGATTAAGAAGTACAACTTGGTTGTTACAAAGTAGTTATGTGGATATAGGGTATAGCATAAGGAATACAGTAAAAAATATTATAATTATGTATGGTGTGAGATGGTACTAGATTTATTGGGGTGATGGATGGGGGGTTTGGGGAACAGGGTTAAAAAGGTGAAGGCATTAAGAAGTATAAATTGGTAGTTAAAAAACAGTCATGAGGATGTAAAGTAAAGCATAGAGAATATAGGTAATAACATGGTAATAACTATGTATAGTGCTAGGTGGGTACTAGACTAGTCAGGGGAATCACTTCTTAAATTATACAAATGTCTAACACTATGCTGTACAGCTGACATTAATATAAAATAATATTGAATGTCAACTGTAATTGGAAAATTAAAAAGGGTAAGAAAAGGTGAAGGAGAATAAGAGGTCCAAATTTCTAGGTATAAAACAAATAAATCATGGTGATATAATGTAGCACAGGGAATATAGTCAATAATATTGTGATAGCATGGTACAGTGTCAGATGGTTGCTGACTTATGGTGATCACTTCTTTAGGTATGTAAATGTTGAATAACTATGGTATATGCCTGAAACTAATATAATATT